ATATTATTATTATTATATGTATATTATTCAATAATATTTAACAGTATATATATAATTAATAAATGATTTGTTATATACATTAATAATTATTGTAAATAACAAATTATAAATTTATTATATACATATTGTTATGTATGAAATAAATTTAAAATATATTGTGGAGAACTATTATTTTGATAAGTTTCACAGTGACACTAACTAAATTCACTTTTTTACTAGCTCGTTATTAGTTTAATATTATCTAAGTTACTAAAATCAATTTCTTCTATACATAATATTTAAAACGTTTATTTCCATTTTAGTTTTGGAGAAACAACAGGTCGGCAAATTCGGCACTGCCGAAATTAAGAACTATTTATAAGCCGAAATTATCTCCTTAAAGCAGTCCTAGGGGAAACTCTTATATCTTGTAAAATACTTTGAGTTTAATTTTATTGTTGCTCACATTTTGTTCAGTATATATTTTTGAATGAAATAAATACAAATTTTTGGTAGAAATTTTCGGAAAAAATCTTTTATCCTCTATTTTCAAAAAGGAAAAAATGTTAAGAAAAAGCTAATAATCATAAAATAACGTACCTATAATGTAAAAATAGAAGTTTAAACTAATATTTTTAGAAAAACTGTTTATCTTTCTATAATACTCAAATATAGTTTTGATATTTCATTAAATAAATGTTTTTAGGTGTCTTTTGAAGTGGTGCCGAAATTATCTCCCTGCCGAAATTACCCTACTTTACCCTATATCAGGGGCGGATCCAGCATTTTTTGATGTTTGAGATAGCTAACTTCCAGACATGGAGCAAACTCCAAACATTCATATGTTTATACTTATATCAAATAAGAATGGTTTGCAAAAAATTGCGATGATTGGAGCCTGGGAACAAAAAAGCCCTAAAATTTGAGACGTACCTGCCCCAAACGTGAGAGCAACAAGATGATATAATATTTTTTGTACTATTCTCAACAAGACTTATATTTATCCATAAATTTTAAATTTCATTGTAAAATATTTCCGCGTTCAAAAATTATGACAATGTAAAGTTTGAATCCCCCTCAATTCGAGGGGGTCACAATTTTTATATGGTCATAATTTTTAAGCGCTAAAATATTTTACTATGAAATTTAAAATTTATTGATAAATATAATTCTTGTTGAGAATAGTACAAAAAATATTTTATCAACTTGTTGCTCTCACGTTTGGGGCAGGTACGTCTCAAATTTTAGGGCTTTTTTGTTCCCAGGCTCCAATCATCGCAATTTTTTGCAAACCATCCTTACTTGATATAAGTATAAACATGTGAATGTTTGGAGTTTGCTCCATGTCTGGAAGTAAGCTATCTCAAACACCAAAAAATGCTGGATCCGCCCCTGTATATATATATATATATATATATATATATATATATATATATATATATATATATATATATATATATATATATATATATATATATATATATATATATATATATATATATATATATATATATATATATATATATATATATATATATATATATATATATATATATTAGGGTGGTCCAGATTTGTGTGGTGAAAATTCAAATTCTCTCCACAAGCCTAACTTTGTTAGGCTTGTGGAGAGAATCTAGACACACTTTAAATCTAGAGAATCTAGACACACTATGCTTAGGGAATAACCATACAAAAAATTGGACCAATTTGAACAGTTTTAGGGGTCGCTATGATTTCAACATTTTTTTGACGGTACTCGATTTTTACAAATTTTTGTGTAAGTTTTGCATAATTGAACATCTATTTCAACATTGTGGTAAATAAATTAATGCTTGCTGAAAAGCAGATGCTATATAAATTCATTTATATATCTAATATCTTTTAGTTGTCTATTGTCACATGATTTGGCGGCCATCTTGTAATAAGCACATGTCTGCAGTATTTCAATAAAAATTTTATAAGGATTACTTTTTTATTTCTGGTAACAAATATTCTTATACTTAAGTATTATATTTTATATATATATATATTTATTATATAGTTAATATAATGAATTACAAATAAATTATTATTAAATTAAATAGTTTTCAAAAAGAATATGCTATAAAAATTCATTTATATATCTAATACCTTTTATCAATTGTCACATGATTAAGTGACCATCTTGTATTAAGCACATGTCTGCAATATTTCAAAACAAATTATGTTTTTCAGTAATGTTTTTTCATTTCTGTTAATAATATAAAGTACTAAATATTAATTAAATAAAATTAAATAGTTGAAGAACAAAGAATCATTTCAACTTAAACTTCTGCAGGTAATTAATAAATAACAAAAATATATATTACACCACTTATGGCAGTTACTAAAAGAAGCTCTGCAGAGGTATGGCTCATTGGGAAAGCATCTAAGCAGCTCTCCTCGTCAAGATTGGCAACAAATGGAGATGTCCTCCGGTGTCTCCTCCTTCATCATCTGGAAGAGCATCTCACAATAAAAGACAGCATTCACCATACGATTCAAGAGCTGATTGTTATGTGGAATAAGGCAAGAATCCCAACACAAAGAATTGATTCTGGTGAAAGAAAACTTCAGAAATTATACGATTCCTATCTGCTCCTAAAAAAGAATCGAACTACAGACCTGGAAAGCAGTAGAATTAAAGAACAGATGTTCAAAGACACACTTTACGAGCTTTTTGACTTGGCAACTAAAACCGCAATGGAGACAATAACCATTGCTGAAGATAGGCAATTTCTTGCAATGCAGCGAGAAGATGTTACCAGCTGCAGCATGGCTGGAATTGATAAGAACTTACTGGCAAAGGAAGCCCGGAAGAGAGCTCGAGATCAAGCATATGATGCAAGGTTATCAAAACAGCAACACTCCAATGGTCATCTCGATCCTGTCTCAGCCAACATCAGCAGCTCAGAAGACAGTCAAGACAGCGATGACGACCCAAGTTTTGAGATTCTGTCTTCTGCATCGCAATCTGTTTTTTCTACACCAAAGCCAAAGCGTCTGAAGAGTATTGTTTCCAGCCCGGAAGTTGCTGGAGCTTTGGACAGAGTTAACCTTCCAGATCGCAAAGCTATGTTCGTTGTCGCTTTAGTGGCTAAGGCACTGGGACATCTTCTTGCAGACTTAACTCTGTCTCGAAGTACAATCAGGAGATCTCGAATGTCTACCCGTAAACACGTGACTCAGAATGACAAAGACAACTTTTCCATTGAATTTCCTTTGCTTCTACACTGGGATGGGAAACTGCTTCCAGATATCACCGGTTCAAAAGAAACCGTGGACCGAATTGCAGTGATTGTAACTGGAAATGGTTTGGAGAAATTGCTAGCAGTTCCAAAAATTGGAAGAGGAACAGGAGATGAACAAGCAGCAGCTTGCTTAAAGATCTTGGATGATTGGAAAATTCGAGACAAACTTCAGGGTTTAGTCTTTGACACATCCTCGTCCAACACAGGTATCCACAAAGGAGCTTGTATTCTCATCGAGAAAGCAGTTGGTCGTGATCTTGTAAATATTGGTTGCCGCCACCATGTTCTGTAGGTCATTCTGAGCAATGTCTTTACAGCTCTCTTTGGTGGAACAGGGGGACCTGAGGTTGGCTTGTTCAAACGGTTTCAGAAGAATTGGCCATATATTCAGCAAGCGAGATTCTCTCCAGCTAAAGATGAACTCTTCATCGGAGATGAAGAGTTCCAGAGCTCTTCATCTCCGAACACCAGAGCCATCGACAAAAAACAACCTAGGAAAGATTATCTTGAACTACTTCGGTTATGCCTGGTCTTTCTAGGGGAGGCTCTGTTGGTGCTGAGATAAAATTTCGAGCTCCAGGAGCGATGCATCATGCTCGATGGATGTCAAAGGCCATCTACGCTCTGAAAATGGTACTATTTCAAGATCAGCTCACTCTGACTGTTCGAGAGAAGAAAGGTCTAGTAGAGCTTGCATTGTTTGTGGCATTAATTTACGGACGTTTTTGGCACGAAACTCCACTGGCTGCAAATTCTCCGTTTAATGATGCTCAAATGCTGAAACAGTTCCAAAAGTATCCAAACCGCACAATCGCCGATGCAGCTTTTACTGCATTTTCTCGACACTTTTGGTTCTTCTCGGAACATCTTATAGGTCTGGCATTTTTTGATAGTCGCGTTGATCTGGATGTGAAGAAGGCCATGGTGGTTAACCTCCAACTGCCCAAGACAACTCTAGCACTGAAGAGAGTAGATTCCAAGAATACCGACTTCAACAGACTAGAGACATTCGTGACTTTGAGAACCTATAGTTTATTCGAGTTGTTGAGCAGTACAGAGAGAGAGTCCTCCCAAATATTTAGGAGACATCGTCCTCCCAATATTTAGGATCTTTTGAAACTTCATTTCAAAAGATCCTAAATATTGGGAGGACGATGAATCATATCAGAAGTTGGCAGAGAGAGTCCAAAGAATGAAAGTTGTTAATGACAGCGCAGAACGTGGAATTGCATTAATTGGACAGTACAACGAATCGATTACAATGGATGAAGAACAAAAGCAGTTCCTACTTCGTTTTGTTCAACGTCGCCGCCAGCTATACCCTACTTCATTCAAGGCAGCCATGTTGGCGATAGATGACGAAATCGTTGATTAATAAACATACATT